TATCCATGTGTTAATTAGTACTGACACATCGAACGTTGAGAGAACTTTTGGAGCCCCATTTTAATAAGAGACCTTATAATAAGAAGGTTTTTTTGTCGTCAAATTAGTCTTCCTTTGGACAAGACTCATTTTTGTAACAATAAAAGTGCATCATTAATATAATCAAGGATGTGTAATAATTAAGAAGAGGGGCCCTTCCCATGGAGCCAATGAATGACTCAATGAGTATTCCTCATTGATTTGTGTGTTGGAGGATATTTGAAAACTTGGAGCGTATACAACTCCAATTTGTTTTGTTGTCACATAATTAGTCACCCCAAGATGATCCATTTATCTTTGAACCATGAACTTGTTTTGTTCCAAGTTACCTAGAAACTTGCCTTACACAAATTAGGGCTGAAAATGGGCTGTTAGACCTGATGCGATTTATGTTGCTGTGATATTCTTATGTTAGTGCTTCTGCCATTGCGTAAGAAATCAGGCATGGTAGTTTAACAGGCCGAGCCCGGGCTAGAGCCTAAGGCCCGCCTACTGGGTTTCTGTATAGTAACTTTTAATTGCTCAGGCTGGGACAACTCATACCTAAATTAAGTAAATGCGTCTTCATTTAGCAGCCCAATTTATGACCTAATTTATGAAGAATCTTTGTTATACCCAAAAAAGAAAAAAAGTAAAAACCCTTGGACGACCCCCTCAATATCGTTGTCTGACCTAACCATCACCATCTCTCTCTCTCTCTCACTGCAACAGCATAAAAAGCAAAAATATCTTGATCAAAAAATATGACTCAAAGTCGTTTTTGTGTAAAAGCCTCAAGGAAGGGAGTCGAAATCGGGTACTCTCTTGTTTTTTTTTTGTTTTGTTTTGAAGGCCATTTGGCTTTTCTCTCTAGTCTGGTTGGTGGCACGAGCTTGATGAGACTCGTGACTTTATGGGGTGGGAGCTTTTGAGGCCTTTGGATCCTCTGGGGTAGTGGGTTAGAGAGAAAGTGGAGTAATCCTTTTCTGGGGTTCAGAATGAGGGTTTCTGAAATCCTTAAAACTAAAAGGTATTTATCGCCATGTATGGCAGGAGTGAGAAAGCGCCTGAAAGAATGACCCTCCAATTGACCTAATTTACTTGCATGGTGCATGCAAAATCCTCATGGTTTTCGCAATTTCTAAAGTAAGGATATTAAGCTTCTTTTCATTTGGTATGAATTTTATTAGAAATGTCCATAATTATTACTTTATGTTGATTTGTTCAAAAAATATGACAATTTTTTTTCTTCTTTTTATTGGGTTTCTCAATGGGAAACTTCATTACTCTGTTTGCTAAGTTTGTATTTCCTTTGTCTATCTTCCCTCAGTTTTCCAGTTTTTTCTTTTTATCTGATTTCTCAATGGTTGGGTCAGGGCCTGAACCCAAAGCTGGCATTTATCGGACCATGCATTCTGCCTTGGTGGGTCCAGCTCATGCCCAAGCCATGGAGGCCTCCACGGGGGCCATGCCTGGACTTTGACAACTCTGGCCTGTCCCATCGCCACCCCTAATCCGGATTTCCTTTTGAGCACCATTAACATATTGCTTTAGATGGAGTTAACCTTTCCTTCAAAAAAACATATTGCTTTAGATGTCCCTTGGGAGAAGGATGCTAGTCTGCAGTCTAATCTTTGATGCGTTCATTGACAATCATCATTCACTAAATGTTCAGAGTTTTACTGAATTGTATTGATTATCATCTTCTTTTAAATTATTTCTAAAAAGAAAAAGTTATTGGATTCATCCGAGGAAGTTGCTTGGTACTATTTGGTATTACAAGTTCTGGTCCATGTGCTTTGAATATGCTGGTAAGAACTTGTATGAATTTCGTTTAATAAAGATTTGTATTTTCCTTAAAGCATTAATGGCTAATTAGTAAAATTTTACATAAGTTTCTGAATTTAAGAAAATTGTCCATATGATTCCTTCTTTCGAGAAATTGTCCCGATATTCCTTAATCACCTACTCTGATATTTCCATTCCCTTGTTTATCCATTTATGACGTTGTAAAACATTTCTAGATGCATCCTTCACATTTCTGAATTTGTGCAGGCACGAGTAATTGGACCTAGGCATACTGACGATCCCTAAGACTTCTAATTTCTTCTTTAACCACAAATTGACATCACTATACCGTAAAACATCACAAATTCATTAGATACAACAAAAACAACATATGTTACCAGTGCTTTAATTTCTCTCATTGGAGATTTTCTTCTAAATGTGCATAAAGAAGCCAATGTAGTGGCGGATATGGTTCCATAATGAAACGTCTAGGTTGGGGTTTCATCTCTATGGTTGTACTATCATTTTGCTTTTACTATCTCTGTGGCAATCAATAGAAGTTATTATATAAGAAAAACTATGCATGTACTTTTGCGACAGATTACCATCGATTTCTCATCTCATTTAGCAAGCGTCTGCCTGAAAGTTACTCACTTTATAAGCTTCTGATTTATACCTTCTCTATCATGAGTGGTTATGTCAGTTGCTCTTTAATAAAATTTCCTCAATGTTTTATCCTACGTTCCCATTTGTTCTTATTATCTCAAAATCATTCATATAATACTACTTGCATTTGATTTGTTGGCTTCTGTTTCCCATGGCTTGTGTTTCTAGCATGCTATTGGAAATTGATACCACAGTGCTGTTAGAAATTGACGTGATAATTGAGTATAATTTTTTTGATCAATTTGAGTAAATCATGGGTTTAGAAATGGTGTGTTGCTTACAAATTTCTACAGATCTCTTATATGCAGATGACTTCGGATTGTGACGACAGGATGAATAACGTTTTTAACAATCAAATATTAGCTGAGAAGCTCTCCAAGCTCAATAACTCTCAGCAAAGCATAGAAAGTATCCTTGACTTTATTGTGTTTTAATTATTTTCATGCAATTTAAGATTTCAGTATCATAGAAAGTAGTATGGGATCTACCATTCTCTGAGATTTGTTAGATTTAAAGCTCTGAAATTGCATAGTATCCTGCAATATTCACTATCAAATATCAAATTCTTAGGCTTCCTATAATTACTCCTAGTTGAATAAGTAAAATATGGTTTCAGCATTACTTCTTTGTAAAGGTTACGAGTCGACTCAGCTCAGAATCATGCTCATTGTTGGTTGAATCATATGGGATTTGGTTGAGTCTATTTTTTTTTTATATATTTGTGACTTCACTGTGCCTGACTGAATAACTCGATAGGCTGAGCTTTCAGCCAAATCCATGGCTTCGACCTATGCTTCTGTATGCAATACCATGGTGTTTTGCTAATTATGGAAACTTGTGTAATGTTGATTAAGTGTCAGTGCTATTTATTGCGGATCAAATGGTGATTTATAGTCCTCTGTATTTCTCGTGAATGAGTAAATGTTCATTGAAAAGGATAATTTTGTATTATGTTCAACAGATGTGTCTGTGCTGCTGCTGGCACCGTTGATAATCTCAACCTTTATCTGCTTTAATTCCTCAAGGAACTTCTTTCTACAAGGTGGGAGTTCTTAGTACTAAGAGACTGTCTGTGGAAGTGAGGTGAAAGGTGTGTAAGGGTGCGCTGTTTGTTCCCATCAGGTCCTCATTACCATAATTACTCAAAAAAAAAGGTCCTCATTAGCAGCCTAATGATTCGGTTGAATTAGAAAATGGAGATATCTAATTCTTGGAGTTGTGTCCTTAAGGATGTTGACCTTTTTATTTGGTTTGACACTGTTTATTATCTATTTGTAATAAGACTCTGATTCCTTCGTTAACAAAATGATATCGTCATGCCGACAATTTGGTATTGTGTTGGACCAAAATTATTCCTCCATGGAGGATTTGAATTATAATGAGGAAATCAGACGATCGAGATTCATCGTGGCTATCCAAAATGTTCAATATTTGAATCGAAGGTTCATAATGCGACACTTATCTATGCTTGCTTGACTGGAGTTCTTTGTTTTTAGCTAATTTTCAGTATCTAATCAAATGCTTATTGTGGTTAATCAACCCACATAAATGAAACTTGGCTATTTGGTAGCAGTTTTATGTGTTAGCCCTAATGATTTTTGGGAAATTTATTTAGGGACCCAAAATAAGTATGATCCATATTTTGGGATATTTTACGGTAAGGTCCAAATTTTTAAGTTTGTTTTTTTATTCCCATTTTACCTCTAGTTCGTAACGCACCCAAAAAAAAAAGAAAGAAAAACCGAAGTGTTTGGACTTTCGAACTGCCCAAGCACTTGAATCTTTTTCTATGGTTTGGGCAATTTAAAAATTGGACTTTTAAATCGACCAAACGCCTTTTTTCTTTTGTGCTTGGGTGTTTCGAAAGTTGCACTTTTGAACCACCCAAACACTTAGTGTTTTTGTGTTTTGGCTATTTGAAAACTGAAATTTTGATCCCGGGATAAAATGAGAGTAAAAAAGACTTGAACACTTTGGACCTCATGATAAAATGTCTCAAAATATGGACTATTCTTTAATATCAAAACTTATTTTGAATCCCTACATAAATTTCCCATATTTTTTTTTTCTTCAGCATGGTAGCTCATCTTGCTTGTGTGATTGGCACAGAAGCTTAAGGTGGCCTACTTCTTCTGCCTGCCATATAGAAGATGATTATTCTTGATTATTATATGTAGCTTTCCTTTATCTTCCTTGCTAAGTATGTACCTCTCTTATATGCCATAAAGGTATGTCATTGCTTCCAGTGCATTTCATACTCGTGTATCTCTTAACTTTAAGCTAGCATTATCTCATTGGTGTATATTCCATCGAAAGAAAGCAAAACAGGTAGTTGAGACGTGGGAGAAACTTTTTAATAGCAGTCAGAAAGAGCAGCGCATTGCCTTTCTTTATCTGGCAAATGACATTCTACAGAACAGCAGGCGAAAAGGGAGTGAATTTGTGAATGAATTCTGGAAGGTCCTCCCTAGAGCCCTCAAGGATGTCTTGGAGAATAATGGTGAACCTGGGAAAAAAGTGGTCACTAGACTGGTATCAATTTTTATTTCACTAGTTTAAAGATGTTATTGTAAATGTATGGCTTAAAAACAAGTTATATATGTCGCATTTAGGAAAAAATAGCATTAAATTCTTTTGTGATTTATTTTTATTTTTTAGTTCCTAGACTCCTATGGACTTGCATGTATGTTACATCAGCTTTTTTGGGGTTTCTTGAAACTGATGTACCCGCGGTGTTTTGTTAATTTTGTTTTTTTTTTTGGGTTGGGGTGGGGTGGGGTTTTTTTGTTTCTTTTTTTTTTGTGTGTGTGTGGTGGGGGGGGGGGGTGGGTGTGTGTGTGGATTGGGTTGGGGTTGGTTATGGGTGGCTGTAGCAAATCATCTATTGGGTGCCATAAATGTGGATTCTATTTGGCTCCTCCTTACTTGGGAGGGGCATGTCATTCCATGAATTTGGCATGAGAGGTTAATGATGCAGACCGCCCCTCAAATGCATTACTTTTCACCTGGAATTAATCTGTTTGGGGGGGGGTAATCGAAAGCTTAAATTGAATATCTTTTAAACTTACGTCCCTTACATCTATGAAATTTTCCTAAGTCAGGTATCTTCATCATGGTTCAAAGTGTAGTGTTGAATTTAATTATGAATTAAGATTAGTGGTTTGTGTTCAATTACATTGATAATTATTTTTTATATTTAAAATCTTCCAAAAAAAAAATCTTCAGAAAAAATATGGGTTGTTTTCATTATTTTTAGTAAGTATTTTCTTTCCAAATAAGTAGTTGTAGTTTACTATCTTGTTAGAAGAGTTCTGAAAGGTTGGTACCTTCCAGTTTTTGCAAAAGAACTAGTTTCCTGATTTGCAAAGGATCTTTTTGCCTAATTTATACTTCTTCGTGGTTCACTTCTAAATTCCTTATAGCAAGAAGGCATAGAAGTCTTATGTTAATTTCATTAAAATTAAAGAAAATCCAAGGGCTACCTAAGAGGCTTTTAGTGTACAGTACTACGGATTAATGGGGTGTATTTTGGAATTTACTTTTCACTCCTAAATTGTAGTAATTCTTTTTCATGTTCTGTAATTACAGAATGCTGTGTGGTTTAGATGGGGGTTCCTTGTAGCATATACCATTGGATTATGATGCACTTTTCCTAATTTAATAGGGAAGTAAATGGTGATGAATTCTTCAAGTGAAATGGACTTTGTCAATTTTATTGCCAAGTATAGGTAAGGCTTTGGGTTATCTCATTTTCAACCCATGGTAAACTTTTGTTTCTTTACTAAAAAAATTTAGGGGATTTTATGAGGTGAAAAATCCTAAATAAAGAAGGATATATCATATTCAGTAACTAGTACTAACGATCAAAATAATCAATTTTCATTTCCTGGTAATATTATAAGAGTGAACATATCTAATGTGTTTAGTATGTGCAGTATATGTGTTTTTGTGTGTGTGTGTGTGTGGTAGAGGAGGGTGGATCTGAGGAAATGATAGCATGTTCTAGCTAGTACATAACCATTGGTATTCCCTCCCTCATATTCACTGTCCGTTGCAGTGGAGAACATGCATTGGACAAGTGATCACGAATACAATGGCCACCACTATAATGCCTCACACCAACACCACCCTGCCTCAACCACTAACAATTGAGTCACCTCCCATGAGGGTGGTGAGGCAGCGGTGGTAATGATGACGGTGGCAATAGTAATGGGGTGGCACTGACAGCAGTTTTGGGACAGTGGTTGGTGGCAATGACATTGGTGTTGGGAAGGTGATGGTGGCGGTGGTGGTGGCTGTGGTAGTGTTGGTAGGTGGGCGTGTTGGATGATGATCCCATGCTCACTATGCACTGTCCAAAGAACAGTGGCGGATGAGAGGAAGGGTCCTAAATGCAAGGAAGGGAACACCAATAAGCATGTGCCATATGGAACACGCTCTCACATATCGGTACACACACACACACACACTAGATAACAGCACATGCATTGCATGATGCTCTAGTTTAGAAAATTAGATGCGATGCGAATCAAATTTTTTTGATATTCAGTATAAAATGAAGCTTTAATATATATTTTTTGTTTTATTAGTTTAAGTTAGTTCAGTAATTGTTAATTTTCATATTTAATTTTATTTTTCATGTTTAATTTTATTTCTTAAATATCAATCATTGGCTAATTTCTTTGTTATGTGGATACCTATTCTGTTGAGAAAAGGAAAATGGTATGTGGTTATTTTGATTTGAATTCCAGTTTTGGTATGAATTCGTTCTTTACATTATAGTATAGCATTATTTCCTAAATATTTTGAAGCTTTTTTGTTTCTCTTCCCTAATTATTCTCTCTAGTCTATTTTGTGATAAACTTAATTTGGATAATAAATAAAGGAGTCAAATTTTTAAAAGATCTGGCTAAATGATGTTATATTTAAATAATTAATGAAAGGGTTTTAAGGAGATGCCTATCTATAGAACTTATCTAAATAAAGCATACAAAGAGTTTAATTAGCGGGGACATGACTTGTAATTTGAAAGTCATGTTATAACATTGTGCGTGTGTATATGTATTGAAACACATATGCCTGCACACATGCATGTGAACAATTAAATTTATTAATCTTGTGTTACATACTCTGAATAAGTTAATAATATATTTTTCTCTCAAAATTATCCACAATTTTATGTAGTAATACTGCTATAGAGGGACCTGAATGGTGTAGTATGCTTGATAGTATTTTCTACTCCATGTAACTCAACTACGGTTTGGTATACATCTATATTATGCGGTGATTAGAATGGAGTTACAGCCAATGTAGATTGTAGTTTGATTCTCACATTGAGTTGGAGGCTATACAGATGGTACTTTTGTGTTGTGGCTTTAAGATCTTTTCCTTGAAGATTCACCTAGGCTCCCCTTGGTTGTGGACTTTTCAGCACAACTACAATAGGATCTAGCACATGCTCATCTTGTAGAGTAATAAGACAACAAAAGCTACACTTGAGCTGAACGTGAGATACTCCTGTTTGGTTATTAATTCTTGGCTGATGCCATGCATCATAGTCAAATAGATTGTGGGCTTTCTGACAACCTTTTCTTCGATGTCTTGCATGTCATGCACTGCCTTTTAGTTAGGGCGACAAAAAGCACATTTAGAACATTGGCTTCCTATCATTTTTTACATATCACGGGCTTGGCTTATTAGTGTTATCTATGTTCATTATCCTTGGACCTTGTGGCTCATACTGATTTCCCTGGGTAACTTGTCCTAATAATATGTACAGGCCCATGCATGCCTTTGTGTTTGCCTTTGCATGTCACTTGTTAACCAAGTACCTGTCTTCATCTATACTGCTTGAGCTAATTTTGCTGCTATGCTAACCATTACATTTTTTAAGGACATGAGAGGTTCATTTCTTTATTATGACACCACCAATACATGCACATGCCTTCTAGATGCAGTGTAGTGTTGTTGATTGTCGATGTATTCAGGAGCAGATTCTTGTCGGTGTTTTATCTCTACTGCATGATTCTACTTGGTTGTAGCCTGTCAACCTTTTTACTATAGTGATCAGTATGGATTCTTAGTTGAAAATTACTTATTCTAGATTGATATTTGTTAAGCTAGGGTGTGAACTGTAATGCTAGACTTTCTGCTTATGTTTCTGTATATTTGCCTCGTAAAGTATTTTTATCTTTTGTCTATTATATTCCTCTATACCGGTCATGTACATGCATGCAGAAGAGAAGTTTGGTCTTGTGGGATAAGGCTCTGATGATGATGATGTATCATGTATGACTATATTTAAGAAAAATCATCTCTGCCTTTGTTTATTACAATTCTTACATACCGTCAGAGTGGCTACCCTTACATTTTATGGTGGCAGGCCTCTCTATGATGGGTCAATCTTATTTTTAGTTTGTAGTTGTCTTGTTTTAGTTCATTGTCTGTCTCATTAGAATGATTATTTTAGTGAAATAACACTTGTTAAGACCTAAGGAGAAAATAAGAAATGATATATCTGCTGTAGTTTACTTTTTTGAAGGGTACAAGTAAGGAACAATGTCGTGGGTGATTTTTTAAAAAAACTTTGATATTCTATCCGGGTCTTACGTCAAACCATAGTCCTTAACCTGTTACTTAGGTTTCTCTATCCTTTGAATGACTTTGCGCACAAATCCCTTCTTTGACTGGGAACCATGTTTTCTACAAACTAAGCGGTAGGTGTAGGCATATTTTGTTGCCAGACCTCCCAGGAAAAGAAACTGATTTAAGCTTCATAACTAATGATTTTGCTAGCCCATAAATATCTCTGTCTGTGTAACTTTCCCTGGTAGTTCATTGCATGTTGCAGTTGGTGTAGCTTGTAAAAGCAGGCTTAGAATGAATAAAGTAAGTTTCCTATTATGTGGTTCTCAGTCCAATGCCTCCAGCATCCATTGGGTTGAGGCATTGAGCAAAACTTGTTAACTTTGTTGATCTTGGTTATCTCACATTTTTTGAAATTAATCTTGGTTATCTCACATGGAATTATTAGATGGATATTTGGGAAGAAAGGAAAGTATTTGGATCTCGTGCACGGAGCCTCAAAGCACAAATGCTTGGAAAAGATCCTCCACCTTTACCAGAGAACAATGGAAAGAGCTCAAATTCGAATTCTATCAAAATTGTGAAGAAGGATACAAACTTCTTAAGAATAGTAAGAACCCCCTCTGCCTTTTTGGTTCACATTTGGTTTTGGTTTTTGTTTTTCTTTCAATTTCCTCCTTTTTTGTCTGTGATTTTCATTGCATTTTTTAATTTTTTTGGCTCTAGAGTTTAAATGTCAAAACAAGAAAATTTGTCTTATGAACTGAATTTTCTTTCTAAATTCAGAAATTGGCTGTTGGAGGTATGCCAGAAAAAATATTGTCTTCATTTCATTCTGTGCATGACGATCATGTTAAGGAAGATAATGCTTTAAACAGCTGCAAGGCTTCTGTTCACCACATGGGGAAGTTGGAAAAAGATGCTGAGACTGCCTGTTCACGTGGTAAGGTTGCATGATGTTTCATACTTTGTTGTTCCTGAAATATGGAATCATGTAAAAATGTTTAATAGTCTGTTTGACAATATGCAACTATTGTAATCTATGTTCCTTTATTTCGGCTTCTGTTGTCCTCTTTTTTTTGGGGTGCACTTGTCCTATTTTGCATGATTAGACAATTGGAATTATCTGTTACTTTTCTTTCTCTGTATTTTCTTGAAATCAATTATCTATCAGTTTTCGAACTTGATTTCGGTAATCCCTTAGGTAAGAATCTTCCAGATATGGTTTTGCTAGGGGTCTTATTTGTGAAGGAAGTCCACAGAACTGCTTCAACAAGACAGAGAGGAGAGGAAATTACATGCTTGAATATTAATGCTAAGTGACCTCAACATAATAGAGATGAGTGAGCTCTCAAGAAATGCCCAAAACCTTAATGTTTAGTGGCTTGAACATTGTGGAGAGGAGTGAGAGTGAAGGAGATGGACTTAAAAATGTCTGATGCAGAAATGGCACCGATAATCAAGTATGCATGCTCATGGGTTACACTTCGATTTACTTTCTTTGGATATTGGTGAAGAAAGAAAGGAGCAGCTGGGGAGATATCTTCTATTTAGCTTTCGATGTATGTTGCATAGACATGGGTACATTTGTCAATGTCTGATGCTGGGTACTGAGTGTTGGATCCCTCATGCTGTGAAGAAGAGGATTTGGCAACATGGCTATAATATGAATAGACAACCAAATCCAATAATATTTTACTAAATAATTAGTGATACCTTATAGCAAGAAATAATTAGTGATACCTTATAGCAAGAAATAATTAGCGATACCTTAATTTGTTGACTCCATGGATATTTCTGAAGTCCATACATAGTTTCAACTTCACATCTATCTACTCAAAATGAAACGAAGACACAACCTCTAAAATGTTGTAATTGATGGTTAAAAGACAAGTAGAAGAATTCAGAAGGACCTGTGTAGGTTTGTATGTCAAGACGTGTCCAATACAGTTTTGTCACCAAAATAAAAGAAATGCTGTAACACAGCTTTCGATTGATAACAGACTTCCATAAATGAAATGTAAGCAATCAAGTTGTTTTTTGAAGGAATAGACCAAACAGAGACATTTGCTAGAGGGAATGAGAGAGAAGAGGAAGGAAGAATATGATAGGGGGTGTAAAATATCTGCCACTGGGACGAAATTCATGCATTCTTTATAGTTCTTAGGAGGGAATCTGTGTCAATGTTAAGTTCTAGCTAGGGAGTTGGCTATGGCATCTGCTTCTCTGAATAATATGCTTGATATCGACTTTGAGTTTACTGTTAATGTCAAAAATCACCTTAAAACCCTTTTCTAGCCTCCAGAGAGCTGTTTCTATGTGTGTGTGTGTGTGTATACACACATATGTATATACACACATATAATCTTTCCATACATTGAGACTGAAAATTTGAGAGAAATTTGAAGCAACTAAAAAGTTTTCCTACAATTATTATTAAATTGCATATTGTTGGGAAAACCCTCAAGAGAATGCCTCGGATTACACATCGCTAATTTTAACTCAAGTTGGATCTTCAATTCCAGGTCATATTCCCGTTACTTGCATAACATGGCAAAATGATGTCTCATTTGCATTTGTTATTACATCTGCCTTTGTTGCTTCTTGAGACATAACCTTCTAAATAATTTTGCTAGAACCAATATTGTTAAGAGCTTGAGGGGGGTGGTCATCATTCATTGTGGTGCAAAACGAATGTCGATAGTTTCACTGAAAGTATAAATGGTTCAGATTGAAGGATGCATGTGAATACCCTTGCTTGTTACTGTAGGATGGACGTGATGCTTACTCAGATCTTAGTTTAGACCATGGCAATGTTAATTGGATAATTATAGAGTTAGAATAGGTGTGTTCCACTACCTGCTGCGAGAAATTAATGGGGCATTGGATGGTGTGCAATGCTACAGTTGTTTAATTAGGAGCCTTGTAAGAGTTCATGTAAGTTCAGTGCGGATTTTAATGTCACGCGATTCTACTTTGTGGAAAGCATGTTGGAGAAAAGTTGAATATACATAGGGAGTATATAATTTTCTACGCCTCATAAATGGACATTTCTATTCATTGTGTTTATACTGTATATTCTCCTGCAATGCATGTTATTATTGAACATCTGCAGGGCCAATTTCATGTAGAACATTTTATGTTCTGTGATATTTGCAAATAGGCCTATTACTCTTCATATTATGTCTCGTGCCATCTTATGGTATTGAATCATGGATTCTAGGATATTTTCAAAACTGACAGTCTACAAGGCTACAACAATGCCTGCTTTTAACAATCATATATTCACTCCAGCTTTTATGTACTTATAGGGAGATATATAGTCAATTCTATTCTGTTTGGTATACCCTTTCCTGTAAACTTTTTGTGCATGGCTTGCTGTCATTGGGTGTATACCTAAATCAACCTTTCTCAAGATTGAAATCTTTATTTTGTTTGAAAGCTTTCCTTTCTCTTTGAGTTATCGTATCTTTTTTTTTCTTTTACTGTAATTATTTGCTTTCATATGATGTGAGATCTGGAGTGTGGCACCTACCAAACCTGTTTCACTGCATCTAGGTTTCCATAATTTCATAATTTGGGATCAAACCTCCATTACTGGTTGGAGCCTTTGTCTATGATTTTGTATGGTATGTCATCATGATTATTGTGGTTTTGGTATTTCGATCATGAGGCAGCATGATGACCTAACAACTACAACTCTTAGGACTGGGTTCACATATCCATTTTATTGTGACAAGTATAATTCACTGTTCCCAATGCGTGCAAACCATGAAATCTAGCAACATAAAGTTTGGGCTGCTTCTTCTTACCTTGTCTGGTACTTATACGTTACTTTTATCAATTTTTACTATTGAGACATTGATTTTCTCAACATCATTTGTGAACTTTAATGCAGCATCAGTTCTAAGTTTCAATGTGACAATTGAAAGGAGTGGCTATGTAGAATTCCAGACTATAAATTCAAAAAAATTCTTCTTTTCTTTTATTAATGGCTAGAAATTCTACTTACAATCACAAAAAAAGAATACATAAAATAAACCTACTACAATATAAGATATTTGTAACTTACTGCCAAATAAACTTTATTAAAAAACTGAATACAAACTAACAACTTTAGGAAGCAAAAACAATAAGACAAGAGCAAACAAAAATAAATAAGGGACGACTTATTGGACTTTTGCCTAAAGTTACTCTCATAGGGCTTGATACACCCCACACTCGAGCATTTGACCGGTGACACACTTAATTCAAGATCCTGCTGAATCCACTAATCTGAACTGGGAAGCAACTCTAAAGCATCATTTCTGAAGTTTTGGACCGAGAGCCGGGGTCGCAATTAGGGTTTCACTAATAACCCATTCTCACCTGGGGCATGCCACAAGATGGCACCTCCCTAATCTAAAACCCAGGCTCGGCATGCCCATTTCCTCTTTAGAGAGGTTTGTGCCACCACAGACACTTATGGGGGGTGGCGTGCCACCTAGAGAGGGAGGAGCTAGAGAGAGAGAGAGAGTTGGCATGGAGGAGAGAGAGAGGTGGGAGAGAGGTCTGAGAGATGTCCAGAGAATTTGGTTGGGGGGGGAGGCTCTTTATATAGGCCTGAGGGTGATCATGATTAAGAGTGAATATTTAGGAACCTTATCCCTTTGAGATTTGACCCATATCCACTTCTAATCTATCTAGACTTTTGACTAGTCAAAACTAATCTTCTAGAATTCCTTCTCTCACAAAGGGACAATTAGGATTTCAAAATAATAAAACTTGATCAAACTAATCTAGATAACCAAATAAATAGTTTTCACAAAAACTATCTCAAAATAATTCAGTTCCAACCTTAGGATATTTTACATAAAATAACGCAAGTTTCACAATTTAATTTGAAACATTAGGCGTCCCTCTATGTGGGGCATGTGGCCCATGTGGGCCCCATGTCCCACATGATGTGAGCCCCACACATGTGGGGACTAGGGCCTTAGCCCACCCAGTTGAAAATTATAGTAATTCCCCTTTTGGGGTTATTTATGCCATTTAAAATCATTTTAAAATTCTGAAAAAATCCAATAATTCTAGAAACACAATATAGTTGAAAAACAATATTTATGGAGTTCTACAAAAAACTAAAATTCACAAAATACCTTTAGAAGTGGATTAGTACTATATAGGTAAAATACAAGTGATTGTCAGGCACTCCACGTGCCAGGATCCATGATCCACAACTGTCTTCCCAAACCACCCAACATGACCCATGATGCACAATCGAGTACAAGGGTCACAATTGGACCCTGTCATATGTACAAAGGCGTGCAAAAGTTTTGTTGAGGATTTTGGCCCTCACTTTCACAAGCCTTCATCGACACACAAGAGACTACACAACTCACCTGGCCTACAAACATTCTTGAGCATCTCTCTGACCTCAACAAAGGATGACCTTCTATAAACCCTCAACGGTAGCGCTACATGCCCAGGGGTTTTGGACATGACCTGGGCAAAGGACCGCCCAATCCTCCGCAAAACACTTTCACTAAAGTGTCTAATTCATTATGATTTATTATATTTACGTGCTCTCACGGCCTTTAACAGCTATGAAACCCCAACACAACAATTGTGTTGAAATGTAGGGGAGATTCTAGTTCCTTAAAAAGTAGGGGGTGGGTGTCTGTTGAATTTCAAAGCTTTCATCACATTGGTAACATGGTTTTTATGGACTTGCAGATAGCCATTGGCTCTTCATGATTCCTTAATTTCATGTAGCATTTGTGTCATCTATTTGTTTGTTAATTTCACACTTCCAGCCTCGACTACTGTTCTACTTTCTGACTCGTGGTAACTTTAGTCAGCTTTATGCGGACTCAAAGAAGCATCTATGCTTTGTTTGAGTAGTTCACATGGTTGTTACAAAAGCTGGTTCCCTGGGGAATATGTCCAATCCATTATTTCGTA